CATACCTGTCAGGATGGGTAACACACAACACCAAATGCTGGTGAGGATGCAGAGAAACTGTATCACCTATACTTTGTTGATGGGACTGTGAAATGGCACACCTACTCTGGAAAAGAGCAGAAGTTTTTAAAAAAATGAAACATGCAACTACCATATGACCCAGCAATTGCACTCCAAGGCATTTACCCCAGAGAAATGAAGACTTACATTCACACAAAAATCTGAACATAACATAGCAGGTTTATTTGTAATAGCCAAAATCTGAACACAATCCAGATGCCCTTTATGAGTGAATGGTTAAACAAACTGTGGTACCTCCATACCATGGAATACTACTCAGCAATAAAAAGAGACAAATGACTGATTCACACAACAACCTGCATGAATCTCCAAAGAAGTATAGAGAGTGAAAAAAAGCTAATCCAAAAAGGCTACCTACTCTATAATGCCACTTACGTATAACATTACTGAATCCAAAATTATAGAGATGGAGAACTGATTAATGGTTTGGAGGGGTTAAGGAGGAGGTGAGGTGGGAGGGAAACAGGTGTGGCTATAGAAGGGCATTTTGAGGGATCCTTGTGGTGATAGAAATGTTTCATACAGTAGTTTGTCCTTATCCTGAGGGGGTACGTTCCAAGGCCCCCATGGATGCCCAAATCCTCATATAGTATCAAACCCTATATATACCCTATTTTTTCCTATACATACCTATGATAATTTTTTTTTTTTTTTTTTTTTGAGCTGGAGTCTCACTCTGTTGCCCAGGCTGAAGTGCAGTGGCACTGCTCACTGCAACCTCCACCTCCCAGGTTCAAGTGATTCTCCTGCCTCAGCCTCCCAAGTAACTGGGATTACAGGCACCTGCCACCACGCCCAGCTAATTTTTTGTATATTTAGTAGAGATGGGATTTCACTGTGTTGGCCAGGCTGGTCTCAAACTCCTGACTTCAGGTGATCCACTTGCTTTGGCCTCCCAAAGTGCTGGGATTACAGGTGTGAGCCACCGTGCCCAGCCCATACCAATGATAAAGTTTAATTTATAAATTAGGCACAGTAAGAGATTAACAACAATAAGTAAGAATATAAAAGAACAATTATAATAATATACTATAATCAAAGCTATGAGAATGTGGCCAAAGCATTTATAAACAAAGTTAAGACAAGTGACAGGCTGGGAGAAATGTTTGCAACATTTACAACCTACAAAACATTCTTATTCAGAATAGGTACAGAGTTTATGTGAATTCAAGCAAAATATAAACAACCTAATAGAAAAATGGGCAAAGTCTATCAATAGGCATTTATAGAAAAGGAATACAAAATAAGAAACATATAAAAAGATTTTCAGTTCATGCCTGTAATCCCAGCACTTTGAGAGGCCAAGGCGGGCAGATCACTCGAGGTCAGGAGTTCAAGACCAGCCTAGCCAACATGGTGAAACCCCGTCTTTACTAAAAATACAAAAATTACCCAGGCGTGGTGGTGTGTGCCTGTAATCCCAGCTACTCAGGAAGCTGAGGCAGGAGAATCGCTTGAATCCAGGAGGCAGAGTTTGCAGTGAGCCAAGATCACACCATTGCATTCCAGCCTGGGTGACAGAGCAAGACTCCATCTCAAAAAAAAAAAAAAAAAAAAAGAGATTTTAAAATTCACTTATCAGTTTTATGCAAACTAAAACAAAATGTGATTTTTCACCTATCAGATTGGCATAAATTAAAGAAAACTGATAATAAATCTTGGCAAGAATGTAAGGGAGTAGGAACTCAAAAACACTAATGAGGAAGTATTCAGTGGAATGGTCTTAGTAGATATTTATTATACATATTACATTCTAAAGCATATATATCTTTTGACTCATTGTTAATTTAGAAATCAGGCTGGGTGTGGTGGCTCACGCCTATAGTCCCAGCACTTTGGGAGGCCAAGGCGGGGGGATCACGAGGTCAGGAGTTCGAGACCAGCCTGGGAACATGGTGAAACTCCATCTCCACTAAAAGTATAAAAATTAGCCAGGCATGGTGGTGGGAGCCTGTAATCCCAGCTACTCAGGAGGCTGAGGCAGAGGAATTGCTTGAACCTGGGAGCTGGAGGTTGCAGTGAGCCGAGATCCAGCCACTGCACTCTAGCCTTGGTGACAGAGCAAGACTCCGTCTTGGAAAAAAAAAAAAAAGAAATCAATGTTACCATAGTAGTTTCGCATGTACTAAAGGGAATATAGAGGAGGACTATTTTCTCCTTTTTTTTTCTGTAAATGTCAAAAGAAGTGGAAATGTTCATTCAGTGGGAGAGAAGTGACATACAGTCACCATACATCCCTACAATGAATACAACATACCCATGAAAAAGAATGAGGTGGTCCTACACATACTGAGTTTAAAATAAAAATCTTCAAGACAAGGGAAAAAAAGAAACAAGTTGTGGAACTGTATTCTAGTGTGATCTATTTCATGTTGTTATGTGTATGTTTGTGCAAGCAATATGGATATAAATACATAAACAGTTTTGTAAACATGTTTGCCAAACTGGCCAGTAGTTATCTCTGGAGGGAAAAAAAGAGGTGAGATTGGGGCAGGTGGAAGGGGGCTTTTCACATTTTGTTCTGTATCCTTCTGTATCATTTAAGTTATGTACAGCTAGAATAAATAAAAACTTGCATGTTCATACACACACACAAATACACACACACACACACACACACACGCCACAGGCATAGGAAAAAAAGGAAGGTGTCTGTTTCTGAAGATCTCTGCAAAGCCTATAGCCACTGCTGCTAATCCTCTCAGGCTTCTGAGAATGACAGCCACCCTCATGGGAGCGTTGATTGCCCCAAATGTTTGCTTTAATCAATGCAATTAGCAGAACATCAATTAGGCTGGAAGGCTGAAAGGCTCTGAAGCCTTTTGATTTGCAAGAGCCTTGTTCCTGCCTGCTGCTCTGTGTCAGGCTTTCCATCTTTCTTAATTGGTGACTCTGACTTGTAAACTTTTCCACTATTCCCCCAAACTGCAACGTCTCCTTTTCCCTAGCTCTCTGAAAAGTTTCACTGAAAAGTTTCACTGTGTCACTAAAGCCAGACCACCTGTGAGTTATCTATGTCTCCACCCTCATATCTGGTCAACCACTAATCCCTCTGGAACTGATCCCCAGAAGTCTCTCAAATCTGGCTACCTTACTCCATCTCTACTGTAAGCACATTACTGCCTCTTACCTGGAATTTGAATTTTGAACATCAGAAGAGCCTTGAAGAGACAGTTCCTCTATGGCTCAGCACTGCTTCCTGAAGTAAATTTTTCAGCTTTCCTCTGATTCTGTGAGTTGCCTTGTATACCCCCAGCCCATCGCGCGCGTACTTCATATCAACTCGTTTTTGACTGAAGCTAGCCAAGTCATTTTTGGTGCTTGTGTCCAAAGAATTCCCAATGAACCCTGCCCTTCTGCACCAGATAAAATTTTACTCATCCTTTAGGATCCAAGTCAAGTGTCCGTTTACTCACTCATTCATTCACTCAACAAATATTTACTGAAAAATACCATGAGCTAGTGCTGTGCTAAGTGCTGAAGATTCTTGACCACATGAATCCCTAACTATCTCCAAATGAAGAACTTCTGGGAGATTTCAGGTGCCAAAGTTAGTTGTATTCCTTTCTTCGTGGCACTCTGTCAGCGTTGATCTGGGTAATTGATTAATTACCTCATATCCACATTCCCCATCCTCCTCCCCCGACAAGCAACCATATTAATTGGTTTGATATGTATTTGAATGTATTATTGTGAAATGCATACTGTAATTTTGGGATTAAAATTCAAGAGCGCAATAATCCAGGAGAGAGTTGATGGCAACTTGAACCACAGGTGTGTTAGTTTCCTATACAAGAAATCCCTGCATTTAAATGAGAACAAAACCCAACAGAAAGCTGAAAAAAATACAACAGAAAACCCCAAACTAACAAACAACGTAAGATGCAAATCGCTAATAACGAGAGAAATGCAGATTAAAACAATAATAGCACATTGCATCTGCTATTTTGATAATAATTAGAAAGCTGATCTCTATCCCAGAGAAAGTTCCACGCAGGATCCTAAGGGAATGTGTATGAGGAAGTTCATTGCAGCCTTGTTTGTGGCCACGGGGTGGTCAGGACAGCCTGGGTCACCATCACTGGGAGGATGAATGGGTAAAATGTGTATCAGATTTGGGGTAAGCACTTTTCACGCATTATCTCATCTTTCTTTCAAAACATCCCTAAGATAGTGGAACTTTTCATAGCATTCCCATTTTACAGACGACAAAACAAAACCTATCCTCTCCTACACACAAAGGCTGCTTGTCCTCTGGTACATTCGTCCTAGTTTTAGAAAGAACACACGGGGTTCAGGGCCTCAGCCCCATCCTGCGGTCTCAGAGAGGCGTCCCCCTTTCGGCCGTGGGCGACCTCGGGCCTGGGCCGCCAGCACCGCGGACAGCGCCAGGCGCGGGGCGGGGCGACCATGGAGACGTCACGACGCGCGGAGTCTGAGGGGCGCGCGCCCGTGGGCGGCTGCGTCACGTGATCCAGGTAATTGGCACGGTGCGCGCGCACCCCTTCCGCGCAGCCCCCTGACCTGCAGCCTCCGGACCTCGCTGCAGCGTGGACCCCGCCCGCCCGCCCGGTGAGCGCGGCGGCCCGCCCCTTCCCGATCCCAGCGCCGCTACTTCTCCTGCCGTTCTGGGGACCGGCGCCGCAGCTCCTCTCTCCCGGGTCCTGGGGCGCCGCTGCCCGCAGTCCTGAGCCTGGCCCGGCCGGGGGGAGGGGGAGGAGGAACAGACCGTGACCTTGGCTCCGCCCTTGACTGGCCGCGGCCTCCCCCGGGACCCCCAGCCCATCGCGCGCGTACCACCCGGCTAGTCCAGGGTCCTGCGCAGAGGAGCGGGCGCTCGCGGTGGGTTTCTTCAGCCCGAGGACTGCCGACTGCCCCGCGCCTTCCGTGGCCAGGGGAGGGCCCAGGGCTGCGGGAGCTGTGCCGGGGTTGGGGAGGGTCAGCGCTGTGCGCCTGGCGGGACCCGTAGGCAGCTTCGGACGTCCAAGGACCCTAATAGACGATTTTAACCGCGGTCTCCAATCACAGATGAGAAAACTGAGTCCCGAGAGAGGGCGGCATGGCCTGAGGTCGCTGCTACCATGGAAAGTGCTTCTTCCGCCCCTAGGGAGATGTGAGAGGGTGACGGGGTAATCCCGAGGCCACAGCAGGCTGCAGTACGCATTCGCCGAACCGGAGAGACACCTTTGACGCCCTTGGGCCGCCTGGCTCAAGCAGGAGCTAGCATCCCCTCCCCAGTGTCTTGAAATAGGCCCCATCTAATTAGAGTTGCGGTTTGTTGCTGAGCAAAGCTCATCCGCTTCTCAGAAAGTGGGGTCAGAGTAGACCTGCTGCTGAGAGAATCCAGGCTCTGCTGCTGCCCAGCTTGGAGGGCCCTCTGGGGAGAACCCTTCCCGGCCTCTGTTTACTGATCTCTGCAATGGGTGCATTAGGGAGCAGTCCTCACTAGGGCACCCCAGACAGGGTCATGTGTAGGGGAGTCTTAGTGGGCATGGTGTCGGCAGTTTTCTGGGGTTGGGTTGAGGTTCTGAGATTGGATTGGGGATGCTGTGTGACCGTGTCTTCAAGAGAAGAGACCCCCAAGAGATACCCAGGGCGACTCTGCTGGAGTCTGGACTCAGCAGGGAGTTGCACAGGGTACCTGACTCTCACTCCTTGCTGCTGTCTTTGACTGTATGGGCAGGAACTAGCAGGGCTGGCTTGGGCTCTGGCTCTAGATACTGAGCCCTCATGCCTTGCTGGGATGCAGGTGGGGGTGAGTGGCAGGCTGCCCTCCTGCCAGGCTGGGTCAAGGCCACAGCAGTGTCCAGTGGCCAACCCCGACTGCTTAGTGTTTATAAAACACAGTGTTCCTGCACCAGACCATTCTGGACACAGCCAGACTTTGTCCCTATCTGGCCCAAACTGCCCCATTCCCCTGTGGGGGTGGGATTGGGGCTGGCAGAGGGAGCAGCTCTGACTCAGCTGATGGGAATTGCATCGCTAAGAGAAATCTGGCTTACATCTTGACTGCAGTGATCAGGGCACAGTCCCTGGAACCACACACAACCCTGTCACTCTCCAGCTTAGCCTCTTGCACCTCAGTTTCTCTGTTTATAAAGTGAAACTGATGTGAGTGCTCACCCCATAGGATGTTGAGAAGAATTAAATGAGCACAGTATCTGTCCCAGAATCAGTGCTCCTGATGGTGCCTATTATGTTTATTCCCATGACGATGGTCTTAATATCTAGTTTCCTTGCCATAGACTGGGGATGATAGAGCGTCCTGGGTTGTTGGATTCTTTTTGATGCTCCAGAAGAGTCTCCCTGATGCTTCAGGAGCTCCTCGGCCCAGTGGCCAGCTGGGCTGGCACAGACTTCTGTTTGCCCAGTCCTCTGGGATGGTCAGAGGCAGAACAGGAGTTGGGACCCTGGCTGCCTGACCCCAGAGCTCATGCCTGGCACTTGGAGAGGTCCTGCTTCCAGAGGAGCCAGCCCTGAGTGCCCTGCACTCTAGGGCTTGGCATCACTGGCTGGTGGGCTGGGCCACATGGCCCGAAGCCTCAGGGGCTGAGCATGTGGGAGGGAAACTTAGGGCACTCAGAGGCTCCCAAGCTCACCTCCCTCCTCCCTACAGTGGAATCTTTTTTGTTTTGAAATTTTTCTCTGTTCAGGCTTGCTGCTGGTTGCCCCAGGAGCCTGTCCTCCCTCCATCAAGGTGACATCACGCCTTTCCTCTGGCTTATGTGAGTTAGAGGGAGGGCTGTGCCCTGCCCTCTGATGAGGCCTGACCTTTTGTGCAAAGTCCAGCCAGTGAGTTCCTGGTGACATGGTTGAGCTGATGGCAGGGGTGAGGCAGAAGGGTGCAACAGGTGGCCTGTTGGCTGAGCACACCTGACCAGGAGCATTGGCTCAGGGCCCGGCCTGGGCAGTACTTGGGAGCTAGTTATACCCCAGAATGCACATTTTCTGGGGCCTGAGCTGTCCAGGGGTAGGGGACTCCTCCTGTGTGGGCGATCCCTGGTGGGGTGGTTCTTGCACCCAGCTTACAAGCTGGGCAGTCTGGGCAGGAGGGCATTAGCTGGTGTTGACGGGGAGCTGCTCTGTCCAGGCAGTGGCTGTGCTGGAGCAGAGGAGGGGGTTCTGCTTACAGTTGTAGGGTGGGGAACAGAGGTCCCACTTTACGCATCATGTGTAGGATGAAGTGGCAGGGGTATGGGGTGATCTGGGACCTCAGCGGGCCCTATCAACCCCTTACCTGCCTGGATAGGGAGAGTTGGGGGTTCTTCAGGATTGGCAGAGGCTCTTAGAACTCTTACCCTCTGAGGAATGGAGGAAGCCCCCATCACTGAAAGCCCATCACTGAAAATACCAAGATTAGGTATTTTCCCTGGGAAGGCACAGGTAACAGAGTGAGGTGAGATGAGCTGCAGGGCCTGGTTCCCCCGGCCTGGGTGGGTTTCCAGTCTGTAGCTGCCTGGGCTGTTAGCTGTCTGGAGTGGCACTGGTCCTGGGTGTAAGCTCTCAGGGTGTCCAGAGTATGGGAGCCAGGGAGGGCAGTTCCAGTCCAAGGGCTGTGCTGGGCCTGGGGCTGCCTTCCATTCTGCTCTTCATGCCCCTCCAGACCTTAGCCCTTCCTGCAGTGAAGTAGGGTCATTGTTGGGCCTAGTGTCACCATCCTTCTGGCTGGGCCTGGGAGAGAGGGCACTCTGGGCCAGGATCACAGTCACAGGTAGTCACTGGTCACTTTTGGTTGCAATGACTAGAGCCACAGACCTCCTGAGATACTGTGTCTCTATCATCCCTTGACACCTGTGCTCACTGGATGTTTTTATCCCTGCTTTTCCCTGACCATGCACGACACACCTGGCCCCTGGAGGACTCCCTGCCCTGGTTCTAGGGTGGTGGGCCTGTGACCCACTCCTTCTTGGTGGTACTCCCTGCACCTGCCCTGTGGCTCTCTGAGTGGGCTCCAGGACCTAGGTTGAGTGCTCCCTGAGGCAGGGCCTGGGTTCATGTCTCTGCCCAGGCTTTGGGGGCTATCAGGGAAGGAGTGTGGTCTGGGATGTGTGGGGCACAGCAGTGCTGGGGCTCAGGGCTGTTCGATGGCTATTGGAGTTTACTGAGCTGGGAGCTCCCACCAGACAGTAAGCCCAGGGAGCTGGGAGAGTGTCACATTCCCAGTCTCATCACTGCCTAGCCTGGCACCATCTGCCCAGTGGGATTGACAAGTGCTGATGAGCGGACAGTGGCTTGGTAGAGCCTCTTCCTGTCTTAGTCCTGTCGTTTATGCCTCTCCTTCATTGCCTATGTCCAGAATGAATCAGCTGAGGCTGTTGCCATCCCGTCTTGGGGCACAGGCTGTGAGGCTTCTGGCCGCACATGAAGTCCCAGTGTTTGGCTGGCGCAGCAGGTCCTCCGGGCCACCGGCCACCCTCCCAAGCAGGAAAGATGGAGGCAGCTCCAGTTACATGGAGGAGATGTACTTCGCCTGGTTGGAAAATCCCCGGAGTGTCCACAAGGTCAGCACCCCCACCCTGCCCTGGGCCACTGCAAGGGAGGGAAGCCCCCAGGGGCCAGGCTGTGGCAGGGCAGTGGGGAGAAGCAGCTTGCTTGCTGTGTGATCCTGGGCAGGTTTCTTTGCCTCTTAGGTCCTCAGTCATCAAAGCCTGTTGCTTTCCAGTTGCTGGATCAGGCAGTGGGCGGTGGTTTTGATGGAGAGGCCCTGGCCATGCCCTGCTCTGCCACACCTGAGCCCTGCCGTGCCCCTTTGTCATGCTCTGCTGTCTCCATATGCCCCCTTGTATGCAATTAGGGACATACATGTTTGTGTATGTATTGATCTGATAGAATAAACGCTTGCTGATGGTAAAGAAAAAAATTAAATCAGATGGGAGGATGAAAAGTGAAGTTGCTCTCTGACACCTTCACCTGTAGTGGAAAGCAGTGCAGTCATATGATCCAAAGCCAGAAGGTATAAGAAGTTGCACAGTCAGAAAGCTCCCTCCTAATCTAGCCTTGTCTGCTCAGTTCCTGCTGTCCTCTAACTTAGTGTCCTCTATATCCTTTCAAAGACTTGCATTAGGTAAACTTACTGCAAATGTTAACTCTGGATTTGTTTCCCTTTATGCAAAAGTAACCTGTAACACATACTATTTTGCTCCCTGCTGTTTCACTTGGTGATGTATCTCCAAGATCTTTCCACATCAGTACATAAAGAGCCTCATTGTTCACTCTGTCCAGCTGTATAATATTCCATTGCATGTATGTTCCACCCCTATTCCTGCTGACAGACATCTGGTTCATTTCTAGTCTCTGGCTGTGGCAAACAGTGCTGCAGCGCGTCATCTTACACCTTCATCATCTTGCACCTGCACAGCCATCTGTAGGATAAATTCCCCAAAGTGGAATAGTTGGGTCCAGGAGTGGCTGTGTGTGTAATTTTTTGTTTTTCTTTTTTTTTTTTTTTTTGAGACGGAATCTCGCTTTGTCGCCCAGGCTAGAGTGCAGTGGCCGGATCTCAGCTTACTGCAAGCTCCGCCTCCCAGGATTCACGCCATTCTCCTGCCCCAGCCTCCCGAGTAGCTGGGACTATAGGCGCCCGCCACCGTGCCTGGCTAATTTTTTGTATTTTTAGTAGAGATAGGATTTCACCGTGTTAACCAGGATGGTCTCGATCTCCTGACCTCGTGATCCGCCCGTCTCGGCCTCCCAGAGTGCTGAGATTATAGGCGTGAGCCACCGCGTCCGGCCTGTGTGTGTAATTTTAATGGGTATTGCCAAGTTGCTTTCCATGGGGATTGTACCAACTGAGCCTCCCACCAGTGCCGTATGGGAGTGCACGGAAGACAGCGCTTTTATATTGTTCTTCTGGAAAACACATGCAAATGCCTGTATGTGTTCACATCTGCTTTTTGCTTCTACACAGAGAGTAGCAGCCATACGTCCTCTTCTGCTTCGTTCACTTTAAAACATATCTTGGCAATGTTCCATATCCACAATACCGAATGTACCTTTTTAAAAAGACTATGTAGTCTTCCACATTCTAAATGTAAAATCATTGTTTAGCCAGTTTTCTATGGATAGCCATGTAGGTTGTTTTCCCATTGTCATTTTTATAAACAGTTCTGCAGGGAGCATCCTTGTATGTACATCTAGGCACCCTGGGAAGACCCTGAGAGCTGTGGTCCTCAAGGAAGACCTGACACTCCCTGGGGCCCCAGCCTGGTCCACCCCTGGCTCTTCCCAGGCCCTGACCTGGCTGCGTTCTTGCTTCTGCCCTGCCTAGTCCTGGGACAACTTCTTCCGGAAAGCCAGTGAGGAAGCCTCTTCTGGCTCTGCTCAGCCACGGCCCCCTTCTGTTGTCCGTGACAGCAGGTCTACAGTCTCAAGCCGGACCAAGACCAGCAAGTTAGTGGAGGACCACCTGGCCGTGCAGTCCCTGATCCGGGCCTACCAGGTGAGGGGCAACTGAGGCACAGCCTGGGAGGCTGCACTGGCTCCTGGGGTGTGGCCAGGCACTGAGGGGAAGGGATCTCAGCTCCAACATCGTCTCCCCAGAGAGCCCTTCTCCTTGTCCTCTACTGAGCAGCACCCACTTCTCTAGCCAGTCTTTGCCACATCACCATTCAGAGCACTTACCACCTGCTTGAATTTTTTTTGTGCATACTGTCGTGTGCTTGTGGTCTGTCCCTTGCACACACCATGCCCCAAGTACGTGGAGGAGCACTTAGTAAGGGATCAGTTCCAGAGCCTGTTGAATGAGGGGTGAGTAGATTAACCCTTGTTAATTCTGTTTTCTCCTCTAGAATGGGCATCCCAAGAGCACAGGGACTGATAGAGCAGGTGCCTAATTCATGTTTATGGAATGAATGGTTCAGTAAACAATTCTCCCCCACCAGTTGCTCCTCCTGGAGACTTAGGCTCTCTCAGGCTGGGCCTCTGCTCTGTCAGAGTCCCAGTGATGGTCTGTGTTTTTGGTCTTCATCGGACAGGACTAATTGGAGGACTGCTATGGTGTTCAGGCCATAACAAGCATAATCATTTGGAATATCTCTGGGAACTGCTGGCAGGAGGTATTCCATCAGGGAAATGTGAGGCAGAAGCAAGCCACTGCAAGGCTAGGGTACAGGGGGGCATTAGCAAATGGAAATGATGCTTTGCTTCTGAATGAGGTGCCCAGTGTGTGGGATGGAATGGAGTTCCCCGTACACCACCCACCTGGGGATGGAAGAGGGAAGGTGTGCAGGGTTGGGCTCCCTTGCTGGCCTGAGGACCCATCAACTGTGGGCCACCTGGGAGCAAACAGCAGCTAGTTGTATTGTGTCTTTCCTAGCTGGCTGAAAGAAGCAGTGATCTAACCCTTGACTTCAAAAATGAAGAGCAAGGATGTAAAACTGTATATCAAATACAGGGAAATGTTCAGGGTGCTGCCCGAGAGCCTTATCTTCTAAGCACAGGTCTCAGCCCTTCAGTAGCTCTTTGTTCTTTGATTAACCAAGACGAGGCATTAGTTTTCCTGGCAGGGTGGCCTCTGGATTCAGGTGTGTTACTCTCTTGTGCCTGGTGTGGATGAGCTCCCACCAGAAGGGCTGCAGCCCCTTACAGGCCAGTAGCAGGCACAGCTCTGGTTAGAATCACCTGCACACTGTACTGAAAAAACCACTGTATTGTTACAGGGATTTTTAAACATATAAAAGGCAGAAGGATAGTGTGGTGAACTCACCACCCATCAATCATGATCAGCCTCATTTCATCCGTTTCTCCCTTAGCCCCCGCTCACTGCTGGATTATTTTGAGGCAGATCCCAGATACAGCATTTCATTCATTGAACATTTCAGTATGTATGTCTAGAGAAAAGGATTCCTTAAAAAATGTGCCATAATACCATTATCACATCTAAACATAATAATGCTTAATATGAAATATGCATTTGATATTTGTGTTTGCTTTTTGTCCTGTGCTTTCTTTTTTTCTTTCTTTTTTTTTTTAGACGGAGTTTTACTCTGTCACCCAGGCTGGAGTGCAGTGGTGCTATCCTGACTCACTGCAACCTCTGCCCCACGTGTTCAAGTGATTCTCCTGCCTCAGCCTCCTGAGTAGCTAGGATTACAGGTGCTTGCCACCACGCCTGGCTAATTTTTGTGTTTTTAGTGGTGATGGGGTTTCACCATGTTGGCCAGGCTGGTTTTGAATTCCTGACCTCAAGTGATCTGCCCGCCTCAGCCTCCCAAAGTGCTGGGATTATAGGCATGAGCCATTGCGCCCAGCCTGTGCTTTCTTTTTACTGCTTGTTTGAAGCAGGATCCAGCTAAATCTACAGGTTGCAGTAGACTGATGTGGCTCGTACGTCTCTTATACTTTGCAGGTTCCTCTCTGTTTCTTTTTATGATGTGGAAAAGCCAGGTGGTTTGTCCTGTAGGGTTTTCCCGAGTCTGGATTTTGCTGATGGCTTCCTCATGATGTCATTTCATCCATCCCATTGTCCCGTGTAATTTCTGTACTTTGACAGTTAGATCTAGAGGCTCGATCCCATAGACATTTGATTTTTTTTTTTTTTTTTTTCAAAATCAGCTTCCTAGTGGTGATGGTGATGGCAGTTAGCAGCTGTGGATAGTGATTTCCTAGAACCATTAACTCACTAGGGGTTGCAAAAATGGTGATATGCCAATTCTGTTTTCCCTTCTTTATAAACTGAAGTCCTGCTATCAGGAGAAACTTCCCTTTGTTAACTCTGTTTATCCTGAGGTGCAGATTGTGTAGGAAAGACAGGACCACTGCTTGATTTTTTCCTTTTATTCACTGATTTTCGAAATTATGAGGTGATTACCTAGCACACTCCAGAAGTGACTAATGGAAGTTTATCTTCCTTTTTTGGATTCATATGAATACATGAGTGTAAGCATATTTGTTGAATTTCAATCTGCTGTAGATGTACTGTCCTTACAGTTGCTCAAAACCTCTTCATATTCCCAGCACTCATGGTGTTTGAACACTGCTTTGATGTCAGTGTAACAAGATGCTCCAAGCTGAGCTTGTACATTTCTGCCTATTCCAGAACTATCCAGGTCTCTGGCTGTTTCCTGCTATTGGTTTGATCATTACTTCTGGGCCATTTCAGGAATCAGAGCCAGGAAAGGGTTTATACTGATGCTTCTAGCGTGCTGTACATGTGGGATTTGGGGTTTGTCTTTGACCCTGTCAGTCTTACGGCACCATTGCCTTTTAGATATGACAAAAAGATGCCAGTACTATGGCTTGTTTGATTTCCCACAGCCCACATGCAACAATCTTAGAATTTCTAACAATTCTTTTTTTTTTTTTTTTGAGATGGAGTTTCCGCCTTGTAGCCCAGGATAGAGTGCGATGGCACGACCTCAGCTCACTGCAGCCTCCACCTACCAGGTTCAAGCGATTCTCCTGCCTCATCCTCCCAAGTAGCTGGGATTACAGGCATGCGCCGCCACACCCAGCTAACTTTGTATTTTTAGTAGAGATGGCATTTCACCATGTTGGCCAGGCTGGTCTCGAGCTCCTGACCTCAGGTGTTGGCCAGGCTGGTCTCGAGCTCCTGACCTCAGGTGATCCACCCACCTCAGCCTCCCAAAGTGCTAGGATTGCAGGCGTGAGCTACTGCGCCTGGCCAGCATAACAATTCTAACACTATTATGACTGACTGGTAATAAAAAAGACTTTATGAATTTTTTTCTGTTTGTCTTTAGGGAATATTCCATTAGTCAGTTGGGATAGTTTCTCTCTGTGTATTTATGCCACTAAGTGGACATATTTATTCATTTGATTCGTTTCACTTTCAATTTTTAAGACTTAATTTTGTTGTATAATAATTAAAATATTTACAAGGTTTGAAAGTCAAATCTTCAAAGCAAGATAAGTTTTTGCTTAAAACTCTGGCTTCTAGCCCTGCCCCTCTATCCTATTTTGTTGCGCCCCCTAGATGATAATTTGTTTTATGTTATGTTTTTTTTTTTATGATTTGCCCTTCTAATGCATATATTTATTTGTGTCTTCTTTTTCTTAGATAATGGGTAGTTCACCATACACACTTTTCTAGAATTTGCTTTTTTGCTTAACAATAGTTTTTGGAGACTACCTTGTAGTATCAGATGGGGATTTTCCTTGTTCCTTTTAATGGAAAATCCTGGGGTGCTCCACTGTGTGGATCGCCCATATCCATGTGCCAGTCTCCTGCTGATGGACAGTGGGGAAGTTTCTAGAATTTCACTATTACTAATAGCACTGCAGTGAACACCTTCATGCATAGGTCTTTTTCCTGTTTTTGCCAGGTGCATGTTGTACTTCTAAACCGGGTTGAGCTCCTGCCAGCTTACTGGCTGTGGCTGGGTCTTCTAGGCAGCAGTGAAGTGGCTATGGGGCAGAGACATGGGGAAGCTTAACATATGGAAATGGGAAGAGCGGGGCTGGGGCCCAGAGCCTCACCCTGGAGGAAGTCTGTCCAGCTGGGTCCCAGCCCCACCCTGCTCTTTTCCCTCCTCCCAGATCCGTGGTCACCATGTGGCCCAGCTGGACCCCCTGGGCATTCTGGATGCAGACCTGGACTCCTTTGTGCCCTCAGACTTGATCACAACCATTGATAAACTGGGTAAGACTGGGGACACTTCCTCAGGACAGCTATGGCAGTGCCGTGTGGGTGGCCCAGTAAGGGGCCCACGGGCCCAGGGGACATCCTGATCCTTGGGAATTCATGGGGCCCAGGGAGCAGCCCGCAGGGCCTCCTTTCCACCTTGCCTGCGTACTGCCTGTTGTTCCTGAGAAGGACGCCTGCCTGCCGCCTTCCTTAGCTTGTGCCCCATATGTTCAAGCCTGAGAGGCTTGTCCTCCCTGCCACCCTGGGCTCACTCTCACTTCTGCTCCCCAGGCTGGACCCAGAGGGAGGGCACTGGGGAGACTGGGAGGTCTGGTGAGACTGCAGGACTCCACCTGGGCCTGACCTCCCTCCCTCCACTCTGCTGCCTGGGGCTCGGCCACGCCTCCTTCTCCAGCCTTCTATGACCTGCAGGAGGCTGACCTTGATAAGGAGTTCCAGCTGCCAACGACCACCTTCATCGGGGGCTCTGAAAACACCCTCTCTCTGCGGGAGATCATTCGACGCCTGGAGGTGAGCACAGGCGGGTGTGTGGGGCGCGGCTGAAGCAGCTCTTCGGAGCTTGCCAGAGGACGGGAAGGCACTGCCTTTTTTGTTCCAGACAGCAGGGATGTTAGCCATCCCTCTTCCCCGCTCCTCATGGTGTCCCAATGTGTCTCCCCAGAACACTTACTGCCAGCACATTGGCCTGGAGTTCATGTTCATCAACGATGTGGAGCAGTGCCAGTGGATCCGGCAGAAGTTTGAGACCCCTGGTGTGATGCAGTTCTCCAGCGAGGAGAAGCGGACACTGCTGGCCCGGCTGGTGCGCTCCATGAGGTTGGCACCACCCGGAGGGCCAAGTGGCTGGAGGTCCTGCTCCAGGGCTTTATGAGACATTGCACGGCCTGCCTAAGAGAGCAGGAGGGTACCACAGGAAGGCAGGACTGGATCGGCCTCACCGCTGGCTGCAGGGAGGAGAGTTGGGACCAGGTGTTTAGGCAGTTTGGCCAAGAGCTGGCCCAAGGCAGAGCAGGTTAGGTGGGCAGGGATGAGGCTCTGGGAGAACAAGACAGCAGGACACTAAGCAAGGCCAGAAGTGGCGGGAAGTGGCTGTGGGAACGTTTGGGCAGAAAGTTATCCCTGGTGTGGAGTGAGTGTGGCCGCATCACCTGTCTGCCCACTGGACTTCTCTGAAGCTGGGTCCCGCAGGGCTGCAGGGCTAGGGGAACACCTGACTCAGCGGCTGGATGCAAAGTGGATTCCTGAGCAGCGAGGTGTGGCCTGGAGTTTGGATTCAGCTGGGTGGAGATCTTTGGGACTTGGCGAAGAGAGCCCTTGGAGTGTGGCAGGAGGGTAGTGGGCTAGGAGTGGGTGGGTGATGGCCTGTGGGAGAAGCTTGGCTATGAGGAAGAGAGAGGGTGGCAGCTGGGAAAGGGTGTAGGCAGAGGCCTTCAGCTGGGAAGATTCCCAGCCTCCCCTAACCCTGTGTTCCTTGCTGGGTGGGACAGGTGTGGTATCCATGGTGTGCCCTGGACCATTTGACAGAAGGAGGCTTTGTGACTTCCTCTGTCCTGGGCATTCAGCTCTGAGCACTCGTGAACAGTCCCTGTGAGCCTCAGTCCCATCCCTCTCCATCCCTTTCCCTCTCCTCTCCTCTCCCCATCCTCTCCCCAAGCAGGTTTGAAGACTTCCTGGCCCGGAAGTGGTCCTCAGAGAAGCGGTTTGGCCTGGAGGGCTGTGAAGTGATGATTCCTGCCCTCAAGACCATCATCGACAAATCCAGCGAGATGGGGATCGAGAATGTCATCTTGGGGATGCCACACAGGTGGGTCCCCCTCCCCGCTGGCATCTTGCCCATTCTCTTCCAGCCCAGGGGACAGAGGTGGGAGGGATGAGATGGAAATAAGAGCAGAGGTGTTGGTGGGACCTGGGGGTAGAGGTGGGTTTTTGGACAGTTCTAAGTCCCTGGGCCTGGCCTTCTCATCACAGAAATTGCCAGGCACTCGGCCAGAGTCACCTGGGGCCGGGTACTAACCAGGTTATCAGGCACCCTCTCTCCCTGGCCATGTTGCTGCTGTCCCTAGCAAGGGTGAGATTTCAGAAAGGGGTGCAAAGTGCTTCTTGAGGTTCCTGTGAATAAGGAGAGGTGGAGGGGTTTCTTCCAGGGAAGGGAGGGCAGGGCCTGGGCAGTTGTTCCCAGGTTGTGTCTCCCACAGGCAGGTCTGTGGAGATGAGTCGAGGGTCTCTGACCTGGCTGCAAGCTGACTGCATGTTTCCCTTGACCTTGGTGAAGATCTGGGAGGCTTGTTCAGCAGTGGGGCGTTACCTCTGAGCTGGAGCCTGTGAGGAAGCAGGAGGGGGAGTGCAGCCTGGGGGGTGGAGACCTCTGTGGCTGGGGTCCTGCTGAGTGGGCGTGTGCACATGTGCAGAGTGACCTGTGGGAAGGGCCCTGGGCCTTTCCTGTGACCAGGGAGCTGCTTGTGCTTAGGCTAGCCCAGGGCCGCATCAGCATGAGGGCATCCAAATGTATGGTGCAGGGGTCCCCATCTGTGGCTGGTCTGCCAGGAACTTGGGGTTTGTCTGTCATGGGGGGCCTGGGAATGCCCAGTGTCTGGTCAGAGGGTTAGGCAGAGCTGGTCTAGTGACCTGAGGCAGCAAGGAAACACAGGACTTCAGGCCTCGGGCCATTACAGCAGCAGGAGAGGATGGTGCCTGGTGATCGGGTGGCCTGAGGAGGGCTCTGGGTATGAAGGGGCTGTATTAGGCCAGGCCAGGCCAGGCCTCCACAGTGGGGGAGGGAACCCCGAGGCCTGCGGGCTTTGCCAGGTGAGAGCCCGGCCCCTCTGGCTCCAGGGGCAGGCTGAACGTGCTGGCCAACGTGATCCGCAAGGACCTGGAGCAGATCTTCTGCCAGTTTGACCCCAAGCTGGAGGCGGCAGACGAGGTGGGTGCCACGCTCAGGTCCCGGCACCCTTGGAGAGCTGGGTATTTGGGAGGTGAACTGGGGAGGGTCTGGACTGGGAGCTTCTGGGCTGAGATAAACCTTGAGGTGGATGCATGTGGAGAAGCCAGCGAGAGGCTGGGTGTTTGTCTGAGGCCCCTAAGGCTTTTGGGAGCAAGGGCTGTAGTCTGTGGGAGCTGGGAGGGCCCTTGGATGATCTGGGTCAACCTCCCTGTTTTGAGCTAGGGAATCTGAAGCCCAGAGACGCAAAGTCTTGCTGGAAGTTAGCTCAGCTCTGCTCATGTGGCTGTGCCTCCATGTCCAAAGTCCTGTCCATCAGCCGGGAATGACTCCCTTGCTCGTTTGTTTGCCCAAGAGAGCCTTGGGCGGTGAGGATGGTTTTCTTTACCCATCAACCTGCTGAGGAAATGTTGTTCCTGTGCGCACCCCCTCCCTGGGAGGCCTTGGCCAGGCCTTCAGCCCAGACTGCCTAGCCTCTTTCTTTCCTTTTCTTTTTGAGACAGAATTTTGCTCTTGTTGCCCAGACTGGAGTGCAATGGTGCGATCTCGGCTCAATGCAACCTCTGCCTCCCGGGTTCAAGCGATTCTCCTGCCTCAGCTTTCCAAGTAGCTGGGATTATAGGCATGCGCCAGCACGCCTGGCTAATTTTTGTATTTTTAGTAGAGATGGGGTTTCGTCATGTTGGTCAGGCTGGTCTTGAACTCCTGACCTCAGCCTCGGCCTCCCAAAGTGCTGGGATTACAGGCATGGAGCCACCACTCCCGGCCAAGTGCCTAGCCTCTTTCAAAGTCCTGCCCATCTTCCCTTTCAGTAGCTCTGTGGGTCCTCTGGACAGTGAGCCTGTCACTCCCTCCTCTGTATCGCTTTGCTGTCAGGACTATCTTTCCTGCTGTCTTCAACCTGCTGCCGTGTGTGTGTGTGTGTGTGTGTGTGTGTGTGTGTGTGTGTGCGTGCACGCGCACATGTGTGGACCCATACCTACTGGCTCCTAGCCTAGGTCTTTCTGACATCCTGTTCCTTTTGTTCTAGCACTTTCAGCCTTCTAAGCCTCAGTTTGCTCTTCTGTAAAACGGATAAAAGCAATGAGTCAAAGATGTGTGTATACTGGAAAACTTGGCCAAAGGATGTTTAAATGAAATTACTATTTTTTTTCAACTGAAAAAGAAATTTGATTATTGTAAAAACAACAAAACAGAAAGGTTATACAATGAGAACATGTTCCTCAGTGAGACTCCATTCTTGTGGCCAATTTTGTTTGTGTGCTTCTGTTGTGTTTAGGTGTGTACTTCTAGAAACATTTCATGCTGATACTGACAAACCTCTTTGTCCAGCACAGCTTTATTTGTAAGAGGCCATGGGCATAGCAGTGACGCCAGGTGGCACCTTGCTGTTTTCACTTAACAAGTTGTCATTGTTTCCTGCCTGTACACAGGCTTCTTACAGCTAGAGCATCCCTTGTGCTGGACCTTGGGCTGTTCTAATGAGGGTCCTTGCACATGTGTGAGCGAGTTTATCTGTTAGATGGTGTCGGAGCAGTGCAGTGACTGGCGCTAAGGGGGTGGGACTAAATGACCCTCCCAGGAGCTGGCAGATGTCAGCAAGCCCATCCACAGTGTGTGACGGTGCCAGAGCCCCCACCCCACTTCCTCCCACATGCTCTCGAATCCTTTCATCTTTGCCAATATGATAGGTGCAAAAGAGGATTTTGTTGTAATGCATTTCTTTGTTATGAATTCAGTTGCTTATCTTTTCACATGCTTTTGAGCCATTCGTATTTTTCTGTAAATTCCTACTTGTGGCTTTTGCTCATTTTCCTGTGGAGTTTTTGGGCTTTATCTTCCTGATTTGTAAAAGCATTTTGTACATTGAGGGAATTTGCCCTTTTTCTGCATTTGTTTATGAATATTTTTCTCAGCTTGATATGTTTCCCCTATCGCTGGGCGGGGGTTTGCTCCCCCATGACAAAGTTGTTAGAATTTAGGTGTCTTGTGTGTTTTCGGTCTTAGGATATTGTATAGAATGCTATAAATATTCCTTGCTTCAGGATCGTAAAATGTTGTGTGTCCCTCATTGCTGCCCTTGGTGTGAGGAGTCAGGGGATTCAGCTTCAGTGTTTGCTGGCGGCCTGGCCGAGGGTCTCCGCACTGATGCCTAGGCCCTGCCCTTCTCTCCCCGTCTTCCCTGCCGCTGGATGGCCTTCCCCACTCCCATGCTCTCCTGCTCCGTGGTCAGTGTGCAGAGAGGCTCTGAGCCAAGGCCCAGGGTCCCTGTCTTCCTCCCTCAGGCCAGTGAGGAGGGGCAGTGTGATGAGGAGAGCCGGGTCAGGGACAGCTTGGCCCTCCGAGGCAGTGGGATCCGGGATGTGCCAGCCTGACTATGGGCTGCAGTGCTTGCCTGTGTGTCTATGTGTCTGGTGTGGGAGGGGAGGATCCATCATGTTCCCACTTCCACCTTCAGGGCTCCGGGGACGTCAAGTACCACCTGGGCATGTACCACGAGAGGATCAACCGTGTCACCAACCGGAACATCACTCTGTCGCTGGTCGCCAACCCCTCCCACCTGGAGGCAGTGGACCCTGTGGTGCAGGGGAAGACAAAGGCAGAGCAGTTCTACCGTGGAGACGCCCAGGGCAAGAAGGCAAGCTCACCTGGGAGAGCCCCGAGGACCTGCGCCCTGTGGGGTGGGCCCAGAGGGCTAGGCCCTGGGTCTCCACAGTACAGGTGCGGGGCTGGGCTACGCAGCCCCTCCTGGCTCACACCTGCCCTGCAGGTCATGTCCATCCTGGTTCATGGGGACGCCGCCTTTGCCGGCCAGGGCGTGGTATATGAGACCTTCCACCTGAGCGACCTGCCCTCCTACACAACCAACGGTACCGTGCACGTCGTCGTCAACAACCAGGTGAGCATGTACGCTCCACGCTGGGTCTCACAGCATCAGCATTCCTGGAAATCCAGGAAGTAGCTTGTGGGGAGAGTGAGATGCTTCTGGCTCTGAGCCCACTGCTGTGCTGCTTACTAGGCAGGACCCTGATCTGCCCAGCCTTGGCATCCTGGTCTGTGAAATTGGGGGACACAATAGGGAGGGATAAGCAGGGCTGGAAAGACCAAAGGAGCACCTGTGTAGCGAGTACCTCCTGGAGGCTGGCTGTGTGCAGCCCTGCATTGGCAGTGTTAGACGCAGGGACCTTGGTGCCCTTTCTCTAAGACAGCTGAGCTTCTAACAACTCATCTGGAGTTTAGAAAGCCATGTGTTCATTGCCTTATTTGCATTAAGTCACGTCATCTTCTATGAACATCCTATGAGGTAGGAATTTAAGTGAGCCCTTTTTATAGATGAGGAAACAGGCTGTGGGAATATAAGCACCTTGCCCCAGGTTGCAATTAGCCATTTTTGGGACTGGGATTTTTCAGGCCTGTGTTCCTCACCACTAGTGTGTCAAAGTGACTTGCAAAAAAGAGCAGGCTCCACTCGGCTGGTGTTGCTGCCGTCCCCGTGGGAGCTGTTGCCATGTCCAGTTGTGGGGCTGCTCACCATCACCCTGTCGTGTCCCACATTCCCCCGGGCACCTCAGTGGACCTTGAGCGTCCCCCTGCTCAGTCCCCGAGGCTGGCACCTTCTATCTCACTCTAAGTAGAAAGGCGCAGCAGGTTTCTCCTGCCTCTGCAGATTGGATTCACCACAGACCCCCGAATGGCCCGTTCCTCACCATACCCCACCGACGTGGCCCGGGTGGTCAATGCGCCCATCTTCCACGTGAACGCCGATGACCCAGAGGCTGTGATATATGTGTGCAGTGTGGCAGCCGAATGGAGAAACACTTTCAACAAAGATGTTGTCGTGGACCTGGTGGGTCTGGGGACTGAGGCCAGGGCATGGGTGGGTGACTCATCCCTGCTGTGCTGAGCCAGTCTGATCTTCAGCATCTTCAGCACTCAGGGCTGGGAGTGCTTCTTGGATGAGAGATTTGTGCCACCAAGAGCAATCTGTGCAAAGGCCTGAGATGGGACACTCATTCGGTGATAGGTGATAGTGGAGCTCAGAGGGCTCCCAGTGGGTGTGCCCTACCTGGATATTCCCCAATTTTGCAGCAGCTACATTGAGCACACAGCGTAGGGGAGGGCATGAGCCCCTCTGGCTGCTCCTGCAGGTCTGTTACCGCCGGCGCGGCCACAATGAGATGGACGAGCCCATGTTCACCCAGCCGCTCATGTACAAGCAGATCCACAGACAGGTGCCTGTGCTGAAGAAGTACGCAGACAAGCTGATTGCCGAGGGCACGGTCACCCTGCAGGAGTTTGAGGTGGGCAGGCAGGCTGCATGGGCACCTAGGACAAACTTTGGGTGGGGACCTGGGGAGGGGTTGTAGTTGTTACCAGCCCAGTGCTGAGCCCTAAGGATTTAAAGAAGTAGCCACTGTGGTCCTTGTCCCCAAGAGGCCCCAGTTACCAAAGAGGACCAAGAACTAAGGATGCAGTTACAGCCAGGTGGGACACAGTGGGTACCGCAATGTGGGGGAAGCCCAACCTTGAGCAGGCGTGCAGGAAGGCTTCCTGTAGGAGGCGGCCCTGAGCTGGGGTTCTGAGCTGGGGTTGTCCCCATAATTATCTGTGGAGTGTTGGTCCTTCCACCTTCATGGAGCTCTGAGAGCAAGGACTACAAGTTTCCGGAGTCTTCTCGGATCCCCTTGCTGAGCACACTGCAGGCCTGCCCAGCCTCGGGGTACCCGTGCAGGATCCCCTGAACTCTGAGACTTTGGCTTCTAGCCATGAGGTCCCTACTGACCAGAGACAGAGAGTTCTAGAAGAACTTGGTAACGGGGACCAGGACTTATGAGTCCAAGTGGACTGGGCCTCTGGCTGCCCAGGGCTTTGCTGCTCTGTCCACACCTTCCCCCTGATTCCAGGAAGAAATTGCGAAATACGACCGGATCTGTGAGGAGGCTTATGGCAGGTCCAAGGATAAAAAGATCCTGCATATAAAGCACTGGTTGGACTCCCCCTGGCCCGGTGAGCGAGCAGTGTGTGGCTCAGACAGACTACCCTGGGCCTTGAGGTCTTGCACTGGGATCAGGACTGGAATGGCCCTAGGTGACAGCTGTCATTGCCTAGTCTAGAGGCTGCAGGCTCTATCCCTGAGGTCCTAAAGCTGTGTGGGGCCGATTCCTGCAAGTCAAGTTTAACATTGCTCTCTGAGCATGGATGGCCAGGTGCTCACTGAAAAGGGAGGGCACAGCCAGGTGGGTGGAGGGAGAGGAAGCCCTGGGCACTGGATACATGGGTCCGGGGTGCTCAGAGGGCCTCCCTGGGGGCAGGGTTAGAACAGCTGTGACCCTGGGGCACAGAGGTGGGTGTTGGGCCTGTGGGGGAGTTGCAGCTGTGGCTGTCCAGCTGTCGCAGGTCCCAAGGGTGGGCTCAGGGTAAGTCTGAGTGACAGTGGAGTTTAGGAAGCCATGGGTCCCTCAGTCCTGGGGAGGCAGGCTGGCCAGGGGGATCAGAGGCCACCACTGACCCAGTGTGGACGGAGCCTCTCTCCCTGTCAGGCTTCTTCAACGTAGATGGGGAACCCAAGAGCATGACATGCCCAGCCACGGGGATCCCTGAGGATGTGCTCACCCACATCGGCAGCGTGGCCAGCTCTGTGCCCCTGGAGGACTTTAAGATCCACACCGGTGAGGTTGCTGGGCCGGATGCAGCCCAGGCTGCTGTCCCCACCCCAACATTGTGCCTCGAAGGGAGGTTGGTTGGGATGCAAGAGAGATGATGTGTCGCATTCCTGCTCAGTCTGCAGTGGGTCCACGTAGCTCTCGGCACCTCGTCTGTGCCTGTGACAGCAGCTCTTCTCAGGGTGAGCGTGGTGAGCTGGGCAGCTCCAGATGCCACACTCCCAGCTGGGTACCAATGACTAGTCTTAGGTTGGGTTTTCAAACTGACTTTGCTGGGGTGTCCCTGGGTCGGACAGGAGAGCAGGAAAGCAAGGGCTGCCATGCAGGGGCTGGAATGCAGCCTGGAACTTGGGCAGGATTCTGCAGCTGAAAGGACGGTGGCTTGCCGGGGCCTGGACCAATGACCGAGGGCAGCCTCCCACTCCGGGGACCCGTTGGCTGGGGCCACTGTGACCTTTGCCTGGGAAGTCCGGAGGGTCCCCTGTGGCTGTATTGAGGTGCTACACACCCTCTGACCCACCTGGAGGAGTTCTGAGGGGGTTCCCTTACATTTTGCACCGAGACCGAGTGCCCTGGGGCAGCTGCTGACAGCATCTGGGGCATGTGCCTGCTCTGTTTGTGTGTTAGCCTCTGTGTGTGGGGCCAACAGGAGCACAGCATAGGCCTGGGGACTTGGGGTCAGATCCGAGTACCTTGACAGCTGTGTGATTTGAGTAAATGACTTCGTGCCTGATGGTGTCTGGAACGAGGCCAATGCTCGCCAAGTGGTACCTGCTCCACCTCCCCATGGGCTCCGGGTGGCCCCTTGTCTCAGCTGGAGGAGGGATGCCTGGCCCTGGGCCCTCCTGCAGCATCCCTGCCCTCCAGCCTCATCAACAGACAGCTGCCCTGCTTTGTGTGGGGTGTTTGCTGAGCACCTACGTACCCCCGCCAGGGCTGGCTGTCCCATGGCCCTCAGGCCAGCACTCTCCTCCCACAGGCCTCTCTCGCATTCTGCGGGGCCGGGCGGACATGACCAAGAACCGGACGGTGGACTGGGCGTTGGCAGAGTACATGGCCTTTGGCTCCCTGCTGAAGGAGGGCATCCACGTGCGGCTCAGCGGGCAGGATGTGGAGAGGGGCACGTTCAGGTGAGCGTCGTGGGGCTCGGCATCCGCACAGGAGACCTGGAGCGGAAGCTGGGCCTGGCTTGGGGATCCCAAGGGGGGCCTTTGTTGGAGTGGGATCTTCACAGCATCCCTAGCCCCTGCCCTCTGGCGGCATTATCAGAGGGCCACCTCGCTGACCCCCAGGGTGAGTGTGCAGAGCTCACTGCTGGGCCCAGGCTGTCCACTGAGGTCAAGCTTGTGGCCCTCTGTGGTGCTCAGGATCGTGTGTGTGTTGGGGGGTTGTGTGGTGAGTGTGGGGGAATTGTGTGTGGTACGTGTGTGTGGTGTGTTTGGTGTGTATGTGTGTGTGTGGTATGTGGTGAGTAGGGGGAGTGTATGTGGGGTTTGTATGGTGCGTGTATGTGGTGTGTTTGGTGTGTGTGTATGGTGTGGGGTATGTGTGTGGTGTGTTTGATGTGTGTGTGGTGTGGGGGTGTGATGTGTGTGGAGTTTGGAGTGTGTATGTGGAGTGTGCGTGGGTGTGTGGTGGGTGTGGGTGTGTGGTGTGTGTGGATGGGGTGTGTATGTGTGTAGTGTGTATGCGTCGTGGGCGATGTGTGTTTTGGGTGGGTGGGTGGTTGTGTTGAGTGTAGTGGTGTGAATGGTGATGTAGTATGTGGTGAGTGGGGTGGTGATAGTGGTGGTGTGTGTGTATTTTGTGTAGGGTATCTGATGTGGATGTGGTGTGTGTTGTGGTTGTGTGGTGGGTCGTGTGTGTTTATTGGTGGTGTGTGTTATGTTCTGTGGTGTGTGTGTGTGTTGGTGTGTATGGCAGTGCTAATGTGGCGTGTGTGTGTAGGGTATATGTGTGTAGTGTGTGTGCTGTGTTTGTCATATGTGTGTATGACGTGTTGATGGTATTGTGTTGGTGTGTGTACGAGTGTGTTGTGTGGTGTGTATGTGTGTGTTCGGGTATGGCTCGCTCTCGCTCGTCGCGCGTGTGTGGGGTATGGTGGTGGTGTCCATCGATGTGTCGGTCGGTTTGGTGATGTGTGTGGTGTTGTGGTGTTTTTGGTGTGGTGGGTGTAGTTTGTGGTGGGTTGCTGTGCTGTGCTTGTGTTGAGTGTGGTTCAGTAGTATGTATATGTGTGTGTGGCGTTTGGTGGTGGGGTGCGTGTATTATGGTGTGTGAGGTGTATATGGTGTGTGTATGTTTGGTTGTGTAGAGCGTGTATAGATGTGTGGTTGGTGAGGGGACTGTTGGTGTATAGTTGTGGTATGTGTGGAGTGGTGTAGTATGTAATGGGTGTGGCGTGTGTGATGTGTGATGTGTGTGGTGTGCTACCATGTTTGTGTGTGTGTGTGGGGTGGTGTGTGGGTATATGTGGGTGTGTGTGGTTGTATGTGTGGGTGCGTGTGTGTGTAGGTACGTGTGAATTCCGGTCGCTGTTGTGTGTGTGGTCGTGTGTCTGGTGTGTGTTGTTAGTATGTTAGTAGTTGTGTGGTGTGTATAGTGTGTGGTGTTTGGTGTGTGTGCATGGATGTGTGTGGTGTGTGTATGTGTGTGGTGTGTTTCGTATTCGTGTGTGTGTCTGTGGTGTTTGGTATGTGTGGTATGTGTGGTGTGTGTATGTGTGTGGTGTGTGTGTGTAGTGTGTGGTGAGTGGGGATACGTATGTGTGTGTGGTATGTGTGGCATGTGTATGTATGTGTGTGGTGTAATGTGTGTGTACTGCTGTTAAGCCAGCCCCTATCTTGCTTGTTTGCAGTTGTCTTTGTGAGTCCAAATGGGGACTTGACACTTGTCAGTTGTCCACACCACATTTCCTCTGGTCCGGGGCCCTAAAATGTTCTAGGTCCTGCCTCAGTCCGCTCCTGGTTAGCAAGCCAGGGTGGTGTGGCTTCCAGGACTTGACCAGCTGGCTTTCTTATTCCTGGTTGTTCGTCTCTGCCGGTCTTGCTCCAACCAGGGCGCAGGTGGTCCTCTGATGCACCCTGAGCTGCATGTCAGTCCTAGCCAGGGTCTGGGGTTCAGCCAGGCGCCCCTCACTGTGCCCACCTCGGCTACTGCACAGTGGTTTCTGTCTCTTGTGAATTGGGACAGAGCTGATGAGATGATAAAGAAGCCAGCAAGACAGGGCAGGGGAAGTGGCCTCCTAGGAGGTGGCTCTAGCTGGCACCTGGGAAGTGTCTCATCAGGTCCTCTTTATGGGTGAGAAGCTGACACTCAGGGAGGTGCCACAACTCAGTTCCTTCCCACAGACCCCTCAGTGCATGGTGTGTGTGGGCTGCTGGCAGGCAGGGGGCATACTGCAAGAGGGACCACATGGCTCTGGTTTTCCACAGCCTTCTTGGATGCCATCCTGTGGGACCCTGCAGGTTTCCTGGGACAGTGACGGAGGCTTGCCTGCCTCCTGCTGCCCAGCTCCCCTGCTCCAGGTGAACAGGTGCCAACCCACCTGCCCTCTGTCCCTGCCCCGGTCTGTGTCTCTGCAGTCACCGGCACCACGTTCTCCATGACCAGGAGGTTGACCGCAGGACGTGTGTGCCTATGAATCATCTCTGGCCTGACCAGGCCCCGTACACCGTGTGCAACAGCTCCCTCTCAGAGTACGGAGTCCTGGGTGGGTCCACACTCTCCTGCAAGCCAGGCAGGCCCCAGACACCTGGGGACCAGAGATGGGCTGGGAAGGGACTGGGGCCAGGGCCTGGGAGGGGCGAGAGATGCTCAGAGGCCCCGAGGGGATGGCCTTGGGGTATGGTGATTGGGCTGCCCCCACCTAAGGCCATGTGGGAGATGAAATCGGTCCCATCTGGGCCCCTTGGGGATCCAGTTAGGGGGCCCTGCTTGCTTTGAGGGGGCTCTGTGGGTATCAGGGCCCCAGTGGGCACAGACAGCCCAACAGAGTCTGCTGTGGGTTTCAGCTGCTGAGCAGTCCAGTCTTGGCCCAGCCCTCCCGCATTGCTCTGAGCCCCATCTCACCCCCTCTGCCCTGCACCCTAGGAACCCTGCACTGAGATCCCTTCTCTGGGCTCTGGGCTTCCCTGCCTGTGTCCCCTGTACATGCTGTCCCTCAGCTGCTTCATTAGCTGGCTCACCTCCTCCTCACTGCCTGCCCCTAGAGGCCAGGCAGCTCCCCGCCCCCAGGGAGATGCCTCTAGGGTTGTTTCTGCCCCTTCTTAGCAGCTCTGCATGTTTTTAAGGAGTTCTTCTTGACAGATGGTCCCTGCTGCCTCCCCAGGATACCTAAATATGGCTGAACCTGACCACACATGATAGCAGGGCTGAGGGTAGCATCTCTGGGCATGTTGTCAGCCCCCAGGGTGGTACATTCTACCCTTTGAATCGCAGGGAATCCCTGGGTTCGTCCTAGCTTGTGAGAAGGATGGGTGGGGGCATGGAGGATATACTGAGAAAGGGCTGAGTTTGACTGGAGCCACTGCCACTTGGTGACAGCGTGCAGCAAGCTCTATCTTGTCTTCTGTTTAGGCTTTGAGCTGGGCTATGCCATGGCCAGCCCCAATGCCCTGGTCCTCTGGGAGGCCCAGTTTGGGGACTTCCACAACACGGCCCAGTGCATCATCGACCAGTTCATCAGCACCGGCCAGGCCAAGTGGGTGCGGCATAACGGCATTGTGCTGCTGCTGCCCCATGGCATGGAAGGCATGGTGAGGGCTGCAGTGGTGGCTGGTGGCTTGGTGGGCTCTGGTGGGCCTCGGAGGGACGGGATGGACCCTGGGCCCCTTGTCGAGTTGGATGGTATGTGCTTTCCAGGCCCCTGGAGCACGTGGGTCTGCGCAGGGTGGGGTCTGCACATGTGCGTGCTGCAGCTGCTGAGACGATGATGCTACCCCTGGCAGAAGGCGCTACCGCGTATGAGTGCGTGCTATGCGCCAGGCGCTGTTCAATGCTTCTGAATGTTAACTCTTCCAATCCATACAGCAACCTAATGAAGTAGGCCCTGTTCCTGCGTTTCAGATGAGGAAACTGAGGCACAGAGCAGGGGAGTAGGTTGCCCAAGGTCTCACAGCTAGTAGCTGGGGTTTGAAGCTATCCTGTGCAGTACTGCCTGTCCTCTGGTCCCCTCCTGTGTGACCTGCCTCTGCATCTACACATGGGACAGAGGGAAGACATGCAGGCTGGCTGCATCCTCCGGAGGCTCCTGGGCTAGCAGGAGGGGAGGAAGGAATAGAGTGTCATGTGATACCATCTGGTGGGCAGGCGGCCTGACCAGGCAGAAGGAGACAGGCAGGGGGCTCATCGCCACCATTATGCCCAAGCGATGTGTTTAGTTCTGAGACTTTACAGGCTGCGTACTCGGCATCCTCACAACACTGGGGCTCAGTGAGGAGGGAGGTGAGGCTCCCTGCTTGGGGCTGCCCACTGTGAAGGCAGCTTCTTGGGAAGCGGGATCTGGGCCAGGCTGCATGTAGGTGGCTGGGTCCTTGGCCATCTCCACCAAGAGGGGGCGAGTGACGGCTGTGGGGCGGGTCACCCCTGTCCTGCAGGAGCCGGCTTGGAGATGCCCTTGGGCTTGTCTTGCTGCTTTCATGGAGCAGAGCGGTCCATGTGGGTGAGGGTGGGCGAGGCCCAGGCTGAGTTGGGTCGGCCCCTACCTGGCTGTGTGGTCACGGGTGGTTTCTTATCCTCTCCCTGCCTCTTCATCTGTGCAGTGAGGAAGAGTCTGCATCATGGGGCTTTTGGGGATTAGCGAGTAAGTTGTGTGGGGTACCTAGAACTTTGCCTCCTGTAGCAGGTGCTCAGTCGGTGGCAGCCACTGTTCCAGGACATTCCAGAGAAAGCACGTCTCAGTGCGGGCTTTTTGTTTTTTCTTCTATCCCTGCAAGTTCACACACTGTGCTAGCTCTGGGCAGACCCCACTGTGAGGATGCCCATTCTGCTCTTGTTCCACATTCTTGGTTCATTTCTGTGGTTCAGGCTCCAGGGTGAGGGCGCCTCCACTGAGATGCCCTCCAGACTCTCCCCTGAGCCTAGGGTCCCTACAGGGCCAGATGTCTGTCCCATGGTGGGGGCCAGCCTGGGCCATCTGGCATTTGCTTTCAGGGCCCAGAGCACTCGTCTGCGAGGCCCGAGAGGTTCCTGCAGATGAGCAATGATGACTCGGATGCCTACCCCGTGAGTGTTGCTGCTGTCCCCAGGACAGGGGCGTGCCCTATTGTGCCCACAGGGCTAGGAGTCCAGGGTGTGGGTGCAGCAGACAGCCACCCTGGCCATACGCATCTTGTCCCCACAGGCATTCACCAAGGACTTCGAGGTGAGTCAGCTCTATGACTGCAACTGGATCGTGGTCAACTGCTCCACACCAGCCAACTACTTCCACGTGCTGCGCCGGCAGATCCTGCTGCCTTTCCGCAAGCCAGTGAGTCACCGTCCCAGGGCAGGGGTTACATGCAGGGGCCCTGGCCAGACAGGGCCAGCTGGCAGCTGGGCGTGTGTTTCCCTTCCAGCTGATTATCTTCACACCTAAATCTCTGCTGAGGCACCCAGAGGCCAAGTCCAGCTTTGACCAAATGGTATCCGGTACGTGCCTGGCCTGGGTGTGGGGCAGCCCACACTGGGGCGGTGGCCCATTGCGTGGCTTCTGCTCCTGGGGCTCCTCCATCCTCCCCACTGTCTGTGGCTCTGCTGACCTGCAGCAGCTCCTGGTGTGGTCCCACTAACAATAGGGTTGGGAGGCTGGCACAGTGGCTGACCTGGGCCAGCTCAGGTCATGTGGGCTGAGTTCATGGCAGAGTCCACTGGGGCCCCGTTAGGCCCTAGCAGGGCTGGTTGAGGCCTGCCAGAGGCCTGCTGAGTTCGCAAGATATTGAGTATCATTCATTCCTTTGTCCATTTTTAAAATTCACAAGCCAAACAGACATTACAGGCCCTGGGGTCCTGGTGTCCCCTCCAGGAGTCTTTGACCTTATTTACCTGGGAGTCAGATCAGATAAAACACCTATAGTTGCAGTTGAGAGGTGACTGTGATCCAGGGAAGGACAGGTGTGAGGCTGGTGGAGCAGAGCTGTCTTGGAAAATGGTCCTGGGCAGTAGGCGGAGGGCCGGGAAGGGCCTCAGCGTGGACAGGGGTTGGATTTTCTCCCACGTCTGTTTGGATGTCCCCTCTGAGCAGGTGGGTGGCTGAAGCAGGCAGTTAGAGCTCTGATGTCGGGACTAGACTACCTGGGCTGCTTGCCCTGTGCTGGCTTCTCTCTTGAGGGCCTGGGATCCATTTGGCCTTTCTGCCCTAGAGTCCTCACCTGAGATGCAGGGATGCAGGGACACTACAGTAGCCTCCTGAGAGGTTTTGCAGTGGGCATGACCTGGGGTCAAGATCATGGGCTCAGGAAGGAGGAATGGATGGGGCTTGGAGGTGAGGGCTCAGCTGCCAGGCTGAAAGAGGAGGAGCATGGAGCAGCCTCCTGGGACATCTGCTTAGTGATGGGGGACTGCAGTGCTCTGCAGGAGGTGGGCGTAGTTGGGCAGAAGCAAGGTTGGGGCAAAGGATGATGCCATCGTGTTGCCTTCTCTATCTCCTTCAGGGCCCTTCTCATTGTACCCCCACCTCCAGTCACCTTAAACGTGGTGCCCCCAGGGCTCAACCCTTGGGTGTCTCCACCCCTCTCCCTGTGACAGCTCAGGGTGTCAGCTGTCCCCTGCTCCATCTTTTAGTTCAAGAGGTGTCCACTGCAGCCACAGGTCCAAACCTGCAGTTAGTCTCAGTGGCTAAGGAGAGCCTGGGGACGCAGGCCTGGTCCTGAGCTGCCCCAGCCCCTCTGGATACCGACATGTCTGCCGTGTCCTATTGGTCACTCAGGGACCAGCTTCCAGCGGGTGATTCCTGAAGATGGGGCTGCAGCACAGGCCCCTGAGCAGGTGCAGCGGCTCATCTTCTGCACGGGAAAGGTGTACTATGACCTGGTGAAGGAGCGGAGCAGCCAGGGCCTGGAGGAGAAGGTGGCCATCACGCGCCTGGAGCAGGTGCGCCTGAGCCCCTTGCACAGTCAACTGATGGGCAAGCTCATGTTGCTGGCCCCGGCTCTGGCCAGTATGCCAGCCAGGCCAGGTGAAGGCTGGTGAGGCCCTGTGCCTCCTGTCGGGGGGTGCTGGGGACACACCGCCCCTCCTCTGGCTATGCTCCTTTGTTCTTCCCTCCCCAGATCTCTCCATTCCCCTTTGACCTGATCAAGCAGGAGGCAGAGAAGTACCCAGGTGCGGAGCTGGCCTGGTGTCAGGAGGAGCACAAGAACATGGGCTACTATGACTACATCAGCCCACGCTTCATGACCATCCTGAGGCGCACGCGGCCCATATGGTACATGATGGGGCTGCTGATTGCCCCTCACCTCGGCCCTGAGGCTCCATCCTGGCTCTGCCTATCCCATGGGCCATGCTACCTGGAACTGGCCTTGCCTTTCTCTGGGCTGCATTTGGAAACCAAGGAGTTGGCCCCATAGTCTGTGTCAGCTCTGTGCACCCTGTCTGTGGTGGGACAGCTTACCCATGAGGGATGGGGCATCATCTGGACTGGCTTTGTGTTTGTTCTGCAGCCAGAACTGAACTAGAGAACCTGCTGCATGTCTCAAAATTCCTGCCTTTGATCTCAGGCCAGTTATGTAGCCCCTTGGAGCCTTAGTCCCTGTATCTGTACAAAGGGCGGTGATAAGATTAGATCTGATGTATGTATTAGCCCTGGCACATGGTGGGTGCTCAATACTGGCATCATGTGTCCCTAGGAAGACGGGAGAGGGTCCTGAGAAACTCCAAGAAGCCAAGTGTGTTTGTCCCCAAAGCCTTTGAGTTGTTGCCTCGTTTGTTGTCCTCATGGGCAAGTGCAGTGACATGGAGGGACAGTTTCTCCCCACTCTTCTGTGGCTGGGTGACTGAGTTTGACCCAGGCTTCGCAGCTCACTGGAAGTGGTGCCAGGGCCCAAAGGCAGGGCCTGTAGCTTCGAGATCAGCCGTTCTCCGATGTGTGCCCCCTGCAGTCCTGGGGTGAAGGTGGGGGTGGGGAGGTGGCTAGGCCTGGTCTTCACCTTATCTTGTCTCTCCTCCAGGTATGTCGGCCGGGACCCAGCGGCTGCACCAGCCACAGGAAACAGGAACACTCACTTGGTGTCACTGAAGAAGTTTCTGGATACTGCCTTCAATCTTCAGGCCTTTGAGGGCAAGACATTTTAGAGCTGGGCAAGACCTGTGTAGGTCTCGCTGTGGGTCGGCTGGGGACCAAGGAGGTGATGGAAAGGGGAGGGGTGGAACTCCTGCCCAGGAGAGGGGCTACGGGGCCCCAGGATAAAACAGACTCACACAGTGACAGGACCAAAGAGCCAGCACTGCTGGCCTTGGTGTCATGCCAGAATCTACCAGGACTGAGGGAGCCAGAGAAGTCCTATAGGCAGGCTGCTGTGCTGGCGCATCCCCCAGCTGCTCCCATCTTGCTGGAATTTCTTGTGCGGCTTCTCCACCTGTGTCTCAAGACGGATACCCTGAGACCTGTGTCTGTGGCTGCTCCCATCCTGGCAGCCCTGGCTGCTGCTCGCCACACCCTCGCTCATCTGTAGATTCAAAGCGATGTTCTCTTCTGTGCTCTTAGAAGTAGGGAGTTGAGCAGTGACTGCCAGGGGCAGTGACCTGCGGGGTGATGTGTTTGCGCTCTGTTTTATGGGGCATTCTTGCAAGATGTGTCGGCTTCTGTGTGAAATGCAGCCACAGCTCATGTGTACCAAAGTAGAAAACCAAATCACAGAGAAATAAAAACATGCTTCAGAGAGATTTGCTGTTTTCACTTCATGTTATAAGACTGGGGGAGGGATAGGCGGTTGAGAGAAGGTAGGGAATGGGGAGAAAGTTAAAAAAAAATGGAGAGGAGAAAATATCCGTCTCCATGGATATTTTTTTGAGACGGAGTTTCGCTCTTGTCGCCCAGTCTGGAGTGGAGTGGCGCGATCTCGGCTCACTACAACCTCCACCTCCCAGGTTCAAGTGATTCTCCTGCCTCAGCCTCCCGAGTAGCTGGGATTACAGGCGTGCGCCACTATGCCCAGCTAATTTTTTTGTATTATTAATAGAGACGGGGGTTTCAGCATGTTGGCCAGGCTGGTCTGGAACTCCTGACCTCAAGTCATCAACCCACTTGACCTCCCGAAGTGCTGGGATTACAGATGTGAGCCACTGCACCTGGCCTAACATTTCCTCTTTTACCCTTGATGCTCTTCAGTTTTGTTACAGATTCTCTAGGTGTAGATTTATCTTTCTTTGTCCTGGCTCCATATTCATAGTGCACTCTGAGAACCCTTTCTTCAATTCTATAAATTGAATTATTATCTCTTCAAATATATATTTTTTGCAATTTTTCTCATTCCCTGCTTCTGTAACCCTTGTTAGATAGGTGTTAGAACATCTCAAAGTAGACGTCAGGTCTCATAACTGTTTTTTTCAAATGAATCTTTTAATTTCTGTGTCTCTGTGTCTTGTCATGGGTGAATTCTCCAGGACTATCTTCCAATTCAGTCATATTCTTCTCTATTAGTTTCTATATAGAGTTTATCCTATCTAGTGAGTTTTTAAAAATGTCAATGACTATACTTTTCTAAGATTTTGAAATTGTTCATGTGTCCTTGATATCTCTCATTTTAGTATACGTTCTTCATTTCTGCCTGTTTAAAAGTATTTTATTTTTCATGGATGCTATTTAAAAAATCTCTTGGAGCAGCTTATAATAATTATGAAGCATTTGTCAGATTGCTTTATAAACCTAATTTTGTCTGGAGTGAGCTCATGTTCCAATGAGGTTGACTTTATTGGCCGTCTTTTTTAGTACTTGCATTCTCCCTTATATTTGGAATGTTGATTTGCCGGCTTATTTAGAATGGAGTGTTTTAGGCCTTTTGTGTGTTTTGTTTCTCTTCTCTCTCCTGCCTTGTGCATCAGTGTTTCGTTTTTGTGGTGTCTTTACTAAGCCTCATCTAATCTCATTTGGACTAAACATTATAATGAAGTTTTATGGATTCTCTTCTGTGGTGATGCTAGACAGATGTTAGGTCCAGGCAAGAAGCCAGCAGGAGATCTTGATTAAGTTCTTTATCCAGCCTCCTCTTTAGGTCCAGAACCTCAAATAAACCAGTGTTCCAGGTGGTAGGTCAGAGTTTGTTTCTGCCATATTTCCTGACCTGTAGATCCACATCCCAACACCTGGTTTTAAGCAGAGAAACTGCTGCAAGCCCTCAGCCTCACGTGGGATATTTTTAGTCCCATTACCCTGTGAAAGCCAAGCCCCCGGGTTCCTTCCCTGCCCTGGTGCCAGTGCTCAGGAGCGTTGTAGCTTCTCTACTGCCACTCCTGTGTCGGGGCTTTTCCTGCACCGCCTCAGTCAGTTCCCACCACAGTCTTATGAAGAAGCACCTGAGTCCAGAGGCAGCATGGCTTACGGGCTCAGTATACGAACTCTAGACCCAACTGGCCAGGTGTGAATCCCAGCCGTGTGACCTTAGGAAAGTTACTAGACGTGTCTGACCTGTTATAAATTGCACTTCTGTCCTGTTTCTGCCCCCAAATATTTTTTTTATTTGTATTTTTTTAGATGGAGTCTTGCTCTGTCGCCCAGGCTGGAATGCAATGGGGCGATCTTGGCTCACTGCAACCTCTGCCTCCTGGGCTTAAGCGATTCTTGTGCCTCAGCCTCCTGAGTAGCTGGGACTATAGGCATGCACCACCATGCCCGGCTAATTTTTGTATTTTTAGGAGCGATGGGGTTTCACCATGTTGACCAGGCTAATCTCAAACTCTTGACCTGAACTGATCTGTTTGCCTCAGCCTCCCAAAGTGCTGGGATTATAGGGGTGAGCCACTGTGCCCAGCCAAGTTCCAAGAGAAAATACCTGATTGGCAATTTTTTAGGGGCTATTCATATCTTTCTTGGGTTCACTTGATTGACAGTTTACCCAAGACTGTGTACAATGAATGGGGGAGGAGCCGCCAAACAAAATTGGGGTATGGTTTCCAGAAGAAGGGGATTTGGATGTTAGCAGAACACCTGTGGAGGCCCATTCTACTTTGCTACCAGGTAGGTGTGAGAACAATAATAGCAGCTGATATTTATCAAGTAATTTCAATTCCTTACCCGGGAGCCGCCATTGTTTTCCATCCCTTCCACCTAATCCTCACTATACCTTATGAGGCATGTCTTTACTTCTATGCTACTGATTAAGATGTTGAGGTTCAGACAGGTCAAGTAACTTTCCTAAGGTCACACAGCTGGGATTCACATCCGGCCGATTAGGTCTAGAGTTCGTATACTGAGCCCCTAAGCCACGCTGCCTCTTGACTGAGGTGCTTTTTCATAAGGCTGTGGTGGGAACTGACTGAGGCAGTGCAGGGAGAGCCCCGACATAGTGCTTGGTCCTTGCGGTGGCTCAGTGCCTGCCAGCTCAGTCAGTGTGGGTCTGTTGGGGCTCACTGGGTTTTCTCCATAGGTGGGGGGAGGGAGGGAATGATGTGAGCTGTTTTCTCTTTAAATACCCAAGGGAAGTTTCCTGCATAACAAGAAAGAATTCTCAAAATTTGGAGGCTGGGGTGGAACTCCGTTACACATTATCTGCCTCTGCGTTCTGTCACCTCTCTCCTCAGGTGAAGTGTAAGATGAAAACATCTTGCAGTCACCTCCTTCTCAGGACTGCTGGGCCCAGAAGGAAAGGCCAAAAAATAAACAAACAAACAAACAAAACCCAAATGCTGCTGCTTTATTGTAGATGATCCTAAAAACCAAACTTCATGTTTTTCGTGGTGGAAAAGCAATATATGTCCTTTGAGTAAAAATGAGAACCTAAACAAAAAACCCTGGAATGATGGTCTCTCACATTTACTGCTGGCTTAACTGTGTGCCAGTGGGCTCAGCTCCTTACAGTATTTCATTTTATCCTCATAATAGCCTCAGGAGGGACATGTTATTGCCACCCCCATTTTATAGGTGAGAAAACTGAGAATTGAGAGGCTGAGTACGTTTTCAATACTACAAACAGCAAGAGGGGAGCGGGCATTCACATCCCGGCTCTGCATCTCCACCCCTGAGCTGTGCATATTGTGTGGCTGACAAAGAAGACGGCAATCTTTTCTTTTTCCTATGCCCCCGTTCCATAAAATGACACACATATTTCCATCCGAGCAACCCTCAAAGCGTTTGCTTACACATAGGCGTGCCCAAGGTTGTCTTGTGCAGTAAAGGGATTTGGGGCGCTTTTTTGCTGGGATCTTAGAGCCTGTTGAAATGTGTGCTTTGAAGGACACAGCAGCTGTCCGTGCTGGCAACTGCACACTGGGAGGGGCCATAAGTCATATAACATGCAAGTCAAGCTGTCTGGAAAATGGCAACAGTCACTGTGACAAACTGAACAACATATTGGAAAAGGGGGTTATTTTCCCAAATATTTCACAGTTACAGTTTTTTCAGGACAACCTCTACAATATAGACGTTTGTACTTTGGCTAAAAGCCCTTACATGTTCTAGCACCTTCCCCACGTCTCATGAAGTGAATCTGTGTGTTCTCGGCTCCTCCGCTGCCCCCTCTTTTGCTCATAAGCACTCTGCTCGCCCATCTCAGCTTCATCTGGCTCACGCGGACCTGGGTGTGAGCCCTGACTCTGCCCCCAGCCAGCCTTGGGGCCATGGGCAAGCGACTTCACTCTCTGAAACACAGTTTTAAGAATCTGGATAGCAAGGCCTGTTAGCTCATAGGTTGCTGAGAAATTATAAACATCCATAACGCCCATGCCATGGTTTCCTCACTCACAGCAGGTAACAGGGTGAAGTTTCCAGAACTGTGGTCTATGCCTGCCTGGAATCAAACACAGGGAGGCATTAGCTGTGAGGAGGCATTAGCCGAGGGAGAAAACAGGAAAGTGTTTACTCCTGAAAAGGGGGAGGAGGCAGAGCCCTGGGGAATGGGGAGAAGGAAGGAAGGGCTGGACTGGGGTGGGTGAGACAGAGAAGAGCCTGGGGTGAGGGGGAAAATGCGGAGCTAAAGCAGTCAGCTCCTACAGCGGGGTGTGGGGGACTCAAGTCCTGGACTAGAGCTGGGTGTGCCAGGAGCTGCAGGGAGCCGCCTCTTTCCTGTGTAAGAGGAGGCCCACTTAATCCTGCTGGGCACCCACTGTTGAGTTTAGTGGCTGATGTAGCAAAAACCATTTCAGTTCTTATTATAAGTGGTAGGAAGTCTAACTCACACTGGCCTAAGAAAAGCTGATTGCTGTGGCCTGGACGATGTGCTCTGACTGTTTGGACAGGAGTTTCAGCTGCAGTAAGGCAAGACGTGGAGTCCAGGGGACCATGTAGGCTGAGAGTGGGGAGAGGCAGGGAGGCAGCAACAGCAGCAGCCCCTGTCCACCACAGTGGCCAAAAGAGACAGCCACGTCTTCCCTGCTCCACAGTCACAAGGCTTTTCCAGCCACCAGAACCTGAGAGAGACAGCTTTCCCAGCCGGTCAACTGATAATCCCCAAAAGAGATGCCATGGAAATGTCCACAATAATTTGTACTAAGCACTCTTCCCCGAGACATTCAAACATTTTCCAACATACTTTATTAAGAATGCCACACTGGCCCTCAAGCAACTGTTGGGTGTTGTGTCCAGGGCTGGCAGGATGGAGCATTGATTTCCATCCTTTGTTAATTGTGTGTTTGTTGAGGGCTCACTATGGGACAAGTGCTGTGCTGGACTCTAGGGTAGGAGGCACAAAGACGTGGTGGGGGGCGGGGGGAGATGACATGCTGTTGCTTTG